GTAGCGTCCGTCTTCCTCCCCTCTCACCGCAGCTCTCGGTGCCGGTGATACCGTCCCGGCTCTACGATGACTTCATTGCCCTTGCCAAAGATCTGCAAAAAGCCGGCGAGGAGAAGCCGGACGGTGCGGGCTTCCCCGCTGACCCCGCGCAGAGCATGAAGGATTTGCTGAGCAGGTTGCCCGGGAGCAACTACAACACCCTGCGGCACCTCATGGCGCACTTGTACAGGCGAGGCGCGGCGGCAGCTGGCGGCAGAGGGAGGGCCTCGCCAGGAAGCCCCTAACGATCCTTTTTCCCTTCACCAGGGTGGCAGAGAAATATGAAGAGAACAAGATGTCCCCGAACAACCTGGGCATAGTTTTTGGGCCAACTCTGATCCGGCCGGGCTCGGGGAGCGACGCTTCGATGTCGTGCCTCGTGGATTCCGGGTATCAAGCCCAGGTGGTGGAGTTTCTCATCCAGAATTACGAACAGGTGTTCGGGATGGACAACCTGCCTTCACCCTTCTCCCTTGGATGCGAAAATCCTCCGCGAGAAGCGCCAGCGGAAAAGGACGAAGGACCTCAGAGCCCAAACGTGGCCCAGACCACAAGTCTAGAGGTAGAACCCCCAGAAACCGAGCTGGGCTTACTGACCCTGCTGTAGAGGCAGGAAGGCGACTAGAAATCAAAGATATGCTCACAGATAACACAACTGTTCCACGGGGAGTGGGAGAAACAGCAAAAAATAAGCTGCGGATAAACTCAGCAGCTTCTGTGGGTGGCGGTGACGCTCTGGTGTAGATCTTGGTCATCCCGAGAAGCTGTGGGCTTCTCTGAGAGAAAAGGCAAAAAAAATAAAGAAAAAAGAAAAAAAAAAGAGGAATTTACTTTTCCTACAGTTAAACCAAAGGGAATGAAATCTGGGCTCGGGGACGCGCTGCCTCCTGCTTTGGAGCGGTGGGTGCTTACGTGCAAGGCCGCATCTGCAGCGACCCTCAGTGTCCGGCACGCAGGAAATGCCGCTTTCTCTCCGGGTCCAGCTCATGAGGAAGCAGAAATTAGAATAACTAGGATTACGGTTGAAATAAAACCACCGGGGCAGACACAGTCCACTTCTCGTGTGCAGAAATCCAACAGGATTAATAAACCCTCGCAGGAAGCGTTTTGACACCTACGCAAACTGTTGCCTCTGACTCTTTCCGAAGCCGTTTTTACCGGCTTCCGCAGCGCGACTCGATTCTCTCCTGGCCCTGCCCCAGGACCTCCCTAATCCCCCAGATAACAGATTCCCTTAGATTTCAGATAACCTAAGAGAAATCGGAGCATTTCGAGCTTGAACCTCGTCTCCGTGTCAAGTGAGAATCCCGTGTGGCTTTTTCCAGCAGAATTCCTCCACCGAGGCCGGCCCCAGCGCAGACGCTCTCTCTGCTAACCCGTCACCCA